CTTTTTTTTTTTTAAGGTTTGAAATACGAGGCGGAGGGGAATGTGCTTATCTGAACGAAGTTGGAATTGGTAGTTCCAGGTGTTCCACAAGGAGGAATTGGATTTGCAGCAGACCTTCAGTCAATTGTCACTGGTGCTAAGTAACACCCCAAGCAGATTGATTCTCAGTCACTGCTTGGCCTGAGAAATCAATTTATTTTGTTTCAGTCACGAGAGGAACATAGGGCACTGGTGCAACCACATTTTTAAAAAAAGGAATTGGACATAAATGGGTGTCAGATGCTTGTAGGCAGTCAGAGGAGAGCAGCAAAAAGTTGGATGGCCTATCTCCCCTCCAGTCACTTTAGGTCTGTCAGTGTCCATGCCTCTCCCTGCCATGCTAATGGTGCAGAGTTCTCCCCCCTGCTGTGCCGCAGTGGCTGCGTTAGCCTGTCTAGTCACCTCTGGTCTTCACTGTACAGCATTCAACTTGTGTGCGGATGCCACTCTCACCTCCCAAAACAAGTCCTCTACTCTCAGCTCTCCCATGGTCTGAGATCCCGTGGTCAGAGGAAACGCTACAAAGACACATTGAAAGCATATCTCAAGAAAACTGATGTGGACATCACAAGCTGGGAGGAGGAAGCCACCAACCAATCCCAATGGTGCCATATGCTCCATCAGGCAGTGGCCCGCTTTGAGGAGAAGCGCCGTGCCCTTCGAAGCTGAAAAGAGAGAGAAGGAAGGAAAAAGAGAACTTTCTCCCAGCAGCCAGCTGACCTGCCAGGAAATGTCTGTATCTACTGCGGGCAGCTCTGTAGTTCCAGGATCGGACCCCTGAGTCATCTCGGGACCTATATGGAAATCCATGGTAGAGCTCATCCTCGAATCGAGAGATTGCCGATCAATCAGTTGTGGAGCAAACTGGGCCTCCAAAAAGAGCTTGAGATGAAACCTGAAGATGTACAACTATCTGCCGGAAAGATTGACACTGCTTGGTATAACAGACCAGGAGTTAACACTAGCAGTGAACTAAAAGGACTTTAAAGTTAGGCAAAGGATGCTTACAAACCTGATCAGAACTCCTGGTCTGTATGAGGTGCATCCATTATAAGACTTTGGAAGAGTTAGTGGGTTTTTTCTATTCCAGAAGCTGGCTGGCCCAGCTTGAATGAAGGTTACAGTGAGGCTTTTTATGAACCCTTGTTTTACAATCACTCCCTGACATGCCTTTTTCCCTCCAAACCCATGACTTCCAACCACAGCTATAATCCACCAAAAAAATGGAATCTGTGACCAATAAGCTTGATGTGGGAGCAAACTCTTACATGAGCTAGATATGACTTATGGAACTCTCTTCTACAAGAGTCAAAAGAACCCATGCCTCAGTTACTCCTGGGGGAATTCTATGCAAAGGCAGAATTAATGTCCCTCCAGATTTTACTCTTTCCCTGCAGAAGAATTGATTCATAGGCCCCTCCCAGGCAGTGGTGCCCAACAGGCACATCTGGTTCAGGCATCGGGAGCAGCCAGGGGAGATGTAAATCACAGCCTTAGGGCAGGACTGGGCTCTCTGTCCTTCTCGCTCACTATTGTGGTGTGCCTGGAGCCAGGAAGGGGCAGCCCTGGAGAAGCTCCAGGTGCTAGTCCCAGCCAGCCTGGGGTGGGAAAATGGGACTTCCTCTTCCCCTGCACCAGGTGCTCCTGGGGTTGGGGCCAGGTCAAATCTGTCTCCAGGAAGCTCTGCACCCAGGCTCCATCGCTGTGTGTGTACACAGGGAGTTGCCCTGTGCATCTGGACCCTCCTGCCCTCAAACCTCAACTCTGCTGAGCTCTCCACACCCAGACCCTTCTGTCACCAAGCTGCACTCCCCTACACCTAGATCCCCTCCAGACTAAGCCCCTCCCCACTTTGATCCTGCTGGGTTGAGCCTGTCCCTCTAGCTTGCTGTGGAGCCAGATAGGTAAGCTAATATGCCCAGTAAGGAATCCCTGTCGGTTTTTTTTTAAACTGCCTGTAGTGTTTCAGCCATAGCTGCTGATGGCTATTTGGAAACAATTGTAAACTGGATGTGTGAGGGGATCCCTTGGGTGTGGCTTGGGACCATGGGACCGCTGTGCCCCCCTGAACACTCTCTAGCCCAGGCTGTCTCTCACAATGCCTTGCTAGTGACCCACAGCAAACCCGTCCAGGTGCTATCACTCAGCACAACCAAGTGTAGAGGGCCCCACACCCAGCTAGCTTGCATGAATGTTCCCAGAGCCACGTGTGAATCTCACAGAGAGGCACCAGAGTCAAATCCTGCCCCCCTCCCCAGCTCCCAGCACAGTACCCCAGGAATATACAGTCTAATTTATGAATTGGTTCACCACTTTCTCAATGGAAAGTGGATCTACACTAGCCTTTGCAAACCTGAGCAATTTACATTCACTTCAAGCAAACTCACTGGTAAAGTTAAACAGTAAAACAAGTTTGACTATAAAAGATGGATTTTAAATCATAGGCAAAAAGTCAGTTACCCAAAGAAATCAAATATAAGCATGGGGTCTAAACTTTTGACCCTATTAGACTGGGCAACATCTAGAGCAGTGATCTCCAACCTTTTTTAAGCACAAGTTCACCTTCTACATTTCAGTACAACCCAGCATCTACCTCAAAGAAAATGTAGAAATAAGTTTTCTTATATAAAGGTGAGATCAATTGCTTAATGTACATTTTCCCTGCTTGCTGAGTCTGTGAGATACTTGTGACTGCACGTTATCTACCAGTGTCTTGAAATTAGGGTTTGGGTTTGAGCAAATCCAAACCACATGTTTTAGCCGCTTAATTGGAAATGGCCAATCAGAGCAGGAGCCGCGCTTCGCTTCCCGCCCCGTGGGTGGGATCAGCACTTAGTGGAGCCATTATAGCTGGGTGTCCCGCTAGCTTATTACTTGCTCTCGCTACACCGGATCTTCCCCCCTCCCCTCCCCCAGAATGGCCCTTTCCTGCTCCTCCCATGTTTGCTGCTGGGCGTGTGACAGCCGCAGCCCGGTCCAGGTGGGAAGGAGGTGGTGTAACAACATGAAACACAACCCTCCTGTTTTGCTACTGGGTGCGGTTTCTGCCACGCAACGTGACAGTTTGTGAAACAGTTTGTTAACTTGCTACCGCCTGTCCATGGGGTTGCGAATCAGGAGGGATGGGGTATGTGGTCAAAAACAATCTCGATCTGCTTCCTGACCAGAGTGGCCCCTTTCATTGAATTTGTGAAAAGGGAGGTAAGGTTTGGGGTACAGAGAATGCCCCTGAGCCCAAGTTGAGACCAGAGTGGCCCCTTTCATTTTTTCCACTGGCTTCCTTCCTCCTTGCTTATTTCCAATGACTTGGCTGCACATGCACCTGTCACTGGCCCAGGGATGGTTGCAAAACGGGAGGGATGGGGTTTGTGGTGGAAAACACTCACGGTCTGCTTCCTCTGGGGGATGGTTGCAAAACGGGAGGGATGTGGTTTGTGGTTGAAAACACTCAGTCTGCTTCCTCCTGGCTAATGTGCCAAATTGATCTATTGCATGATTGAGGCATGCTGTTTCACTTTTTTTTGTGTGAATCCATGAAAAGGGAGGTAAGGTTTGGGAGTACGGAGCATGCCCCTGAGCCCAAGGTGAGACCACTTTTCTTTTTTTACTTTACTCTTCCAATTTGCATCATATACATGGACACAAATACAGAGAACAAGTTTTTTAAAGTAAAGAACATTTATTATTATAACCTGGTATATACATGAAAAATGTCTTTTAGTTGCATTATGTTTTGAACAAGAAGCATTTAAACAATTTGGGGGCGGGGTAAAGAAGTGAACTATGCACATTTCTTGCAGTTGTACTCTTTCTTGGCATCAGTCAAGTAGTCTTGATTGGTTCCTTCTGTAATGGAGGGCAT